AATGTCTTTTTTTGCATAACAGACATTTCCTTGAAAGCATTTTCATTGAATCGAATCAACAAAATGACTTGACAGTATTTTGGTGTATTTGCTCGAGGAGATATTACGTCGCGCAAAAATATCACTCGATGATGAATGGTAAAAATACAGTGGACTTGTCAATAAACATGAAAAATGTGTCATTGATTCATCCCTCCGGTCGATTTGAACAACTTTTGTACTTGTCTGTGTACTTCTTTCTTCCTCTTCATGATCTTCGGCCTTAATAACATTTCCATATTTTTACAATTTATCCCGAACAAAGCATAGAAGAAAACAAAATAAAAAGAAAACTTCGACGCTTTTGCATAAAGAGTCATCAATAGTGTTTAAATGATGCATATCTTGAAGGTTGTTTATCTCATTGTATGGAGAAGAAAGTGTGAGAGAGCAATCAGTGCGAAAATCCTCAGATGAAATGCTCATTCCCATTATAAAGTTAAATCGGATAAATACTTTTTTGCCAGCATGTTCGTTTTAATGCGATATAATAATAAAAAAGAATAATCGGAAAATTGCTTGGGAGCGCATATACACGGGATTTTTCATATGTAAAATTGGCTCGCTATTGAATGGACGCAGGATATATACATAGGTAGATTGTTTGGATTCATGCGCTTCGTAAAGAATGGTAAAGATTATGACACCACCCCCTCGAATGAAGTGTGCCCCGTAATATTACTCTAATAAAATGCAATCGCTAGAAAAGGTTTTAATTTTGATTGGGGTCACATGACACACACACTTTCCCTCTCTCTTTCTCCCTCTCTTTCAAAATTTCGACAAACATAATCTTCATACCATTTTGTTTTGGCTGACATATTCACAAAATACATAATTCACTTGGATTAAATCACCCGCTTTTATTCGTACACAAAATATGTTCGACGATGTGATTTGGTGTGCATGTGTACAAAGCGATTTATTTCAGCATTGCTAAAACCAGTGTCATTTCGTGGATTTTATGCCGTACGGCATTGATGTTGGAACTGAGAACAGTACAATGAAATACTAACTCTTATCGCTCGAAAAAAGACGAATAAAGGATTTAGATATGCTAAAATGGCACTCTCTTCATAAATATAGATATATATTGCCATGTATAGTGTCTCGTTTGCATATCGCATTCAATCTTTCAAGTATGAGAAGTATGAGAGGAAATCATTAGGAAAATTGTGTGCGGATTTTGTTTGCCAGAGAGTATACAGAGACGAATGATGAATTTAAAATATGAGAAAACACAGAATGTTCAGAGATTTTATTTTTTGCATATTTTTTGGCGAATTATTTTATTTTTCTTCGTTTTTTTAAGAATGGTGGTTGCGATAAAACATCGATAAAAATTCCATCTTCATAGCATTGCCAACACCTCCAGTTGATATTTTATCTTAAAATGGAAGCGGGGGCATATCTTTGAAATAATAATAATAACAATAAAACTTTGAATCTTGGGAAATTACGAAAACAAAAACTGCCGAGGATTGTAATGCGTATCATTGCTCAAGTTTCGATGAGAGCGCACACAGGAAATGGAGGTGAAATAAATGGCAATAAGCAAATGCACGTGATAGGCAAGTGACGGGAAAGAGAGTAAAAAACATCACATAAAATAGGCCATTTGCCAATGAACTGAATAAATTAGGCTGCATGACTACTCACGAATGCGAATTTTTTTTTATTCATTCTTCTCGCTCTTGGAAGTATTGTGGCGAAAAGAATAAATATATTTGTTCGATAAAGTTTGTATTGCGTATTGAATTTTTTTTTGGCAGGTAAACAAAAGCCACATAATATAGAAGCATAAACCACGACATCTACTACTACTACTATTGCTAGAGTATAATCTGAGCAAAGAAACCCTCGATTTGTGTGAGTGTGAGCAGGTTTGTGATCAGAATTCGTGAATAGACTGAGAATGCGATAAAAGATAATGCGAAATGAAATGAAATAAAATACCAAAAATAAAACACCTATTCGAGGCAATGCGCACATTAAAAGTGATAAAATGTAATTGTTTGTGTGTATTCACCATTGTTTCTATTAAAAACGTGCATTGAATAATTTGACTTTTTTAAACTTCCTATCGATTTGCCCCTGCAAAACGGAGCACAACCGGTTTCAATATATATGCCGTAGCACAGGAAAAACAAAAAAAAACATCGGAAAGCAGCCATTTTCCGCCTATAATTTTACCGTACAAACAAAGTATGATAACGTCATCGCTAAAATCATTGTGCGATAATATCAACCGTATGCCCATGGTCGCCAAAGATAGAACAATTTCCATCAAGCGATGAAAATGATTTGAGTATAATTTTGCCGTTTATTTATTTTTCACCGTTTTCACATTGATGATGATTAGAATCGCAGAAAAGGGGTACTGTGATGCCCGGTCACCACGGATACATCTATAAACGGTTGTACACGCTTCGGTGATTACGAAAACTAACCTCCGTAGACTTCATCCCAATGATGCCGGATACAAATTTCCTTATTTACCAACAAAATATTGAAGACATTCAATTTCTTGTTCAAATAAAGTTGCACCCACATACAGAACGGAAATTGAATTTTCGATTGATGACTATCAAGCCATTTGATGAAGTTGAATTGTCAACTATTATTGAAGAAAGCTACATTTATTCTTTTAAATATTCAGGCTCAGACAGAGATTTAACCGTTCTCTATCAAAAAAAATATATCAAGAAACATAAAAAATCATCTGTTGTTGTGATTATACAAAAAAAAAAAACAAGTGATTACATACAATAAAGACCATTTTTTGCTCTCATTTAAATGGGATTAAATGACTGGACAAATGCGTTAAATTATCTTTTGTATGATTGCGACCCATTCCAAAAATATAATTCTTTTCAAGATTTATACAAATGCAACTGATATTTTTTATCAATAATCACACTCAATTTCGTTTTGCTGTCGTACAATGCAATAAAATCGTAATGTTAATGGATAGTGTTAATATATCAAACAAATCTCCTTGAGCCCTTTAAAAACTAAATGCATCTGAAATCTTAACTAAATGGATACAAAATTTAAAATCTGTTCAAACCATCTTGAGTTGCAATTTGAAACATTTTAAATCGCAATAATGACTCGTAATAAAAAATGATTCAATTCAACTTACTGACTGTGTAATTGAAAATGATGTCACATAATAAATTCATGACTGTTCTAATGCTTAACCCTTGACCGGGCGGGTCAAAATCCTAACACTATCGGGCAGGTGGGGCCTCCGAGGCCCGACGTACAATTTTCATACAAAAATGTTTTTACAAAACATGTTTTTTTGTTTTTTGTGTATTTTATTGAATTTATGCTATAAAATTTGTTGTTTCAACTTAATAGAATGATTTTTTGAGATGTTTGAAGTGAATCTGAAGTGTTTTTTATAACATTTGAGTGAAAAAAGTGAAAAAAAATCGAAATTTATTCCGAATCGGATGAATTAATGTGTCGGTTCAGTAGTTGTTTTGCACAATTTTTGTATTTCACACTTGCCTTTGCGTGTTGATTGCATACATTTTGGTTGCAAGTTTCGCACATTTGTTTAGTCTTTCGGTCAATTTTTGCTGGACACATATAACACCGACGGTGCTTCTTTGAGGCTTCAGCTGATTCACTTGCTTCACTGGTTTCGTCTCCAATTACTTCTCGAATCGTCCGCTTATGCGACGATGACATATTGTTGGTGCATCGACGGGAAATATGCGCATTTGTTAATTCCGATGACAATCGTGTGAGAAAGTGTTTTCTTTGATATTTTACGGGCTCATCAATTGAACCGCAAGATGTTCGCCATAAAACAAATGCTGCAATGCCAGCAACGTTCAACAAATTCATGAAGTAGGCAAATGGCCATCTATTCGTTCGTCGTTGTACCGTGTACGAATGACAGAGTTGATCGAGAACATCCACGCCTCCCTCTTGTTTCATTGTAAAACGTATTGATCTCAGCTTTTCCATCATTTCCAATGGTTGGGGTGCGATGCAAAGTTGACAACAAAATGACCGATTTGTTTTTTTTTGGGAACATGCGATAAAAGTGTCATCGTTGGACGAGAACCAAATAAGTTATCAACAACAGCCCGCTGTTTGTTTGGTAAAAATTCTGCTGGAATAAATGACTTGTTTTTTCGAGATTTTCACCTGGTGAATATATGCGAGATAAATTGCGGTTCACTAATTAGAAAATATCTCTTATAAAAATTATAATTAGAAAATACACAAATAAAAATTGCTTGGCAACACTTTACGATGAAAATTTATTTTCACTTCATTTTCAAAAGAAACTTTCGGAAAAATCACAAAAAATATTCATTTCTTAACGAAAACATAAACAAAACAACTCTTCGTGTCTACCGGCATTTGCTATGTGCTCTGTCAAAGAAACTTATCACATATACAAACATATGTGTGTCACATATACGTGTATTGTACTACGGGCCTCAGCGACCCCACTTGCCCGGTTGTTGAGATATTTTGTTCAAACCTCTCTCTGGCTCCACCTAGGGAACCATAGTTGGAATAAGTTTTATGCACGATTAGAAGAAGGATAAAAGAACATATTACAACACAATTTATTAGATTATAAAAATATTTTATATATTTTTTTTCTAAAAAAATACGCCAGCGGGCCTCAGAGGCCCGACCTGCCCGGTTAAGGGTTAATGGAAATATTCGAATTGATAATGATGAGCTGGGATTTCCAGCGATACAACGTTTTTTTTTTCATTCAAGGTTCTATTTTGCTTTAAATTTGCTTTCGCTATCGTTTTCTACCAAAAAACCCATTCGTCACAAAAAAACATTGGTTTTGTCTTGATTTCGGTAATCTCATTCGTTTTCTATCTATATTAATTGTTGTATCATATTTACACATACAAACATTGAATATTTTCGTATGATTACCACGATAGCAGCATCTCTATAAAAATTAAAAGCGGCTTTAATAAAATCATCATTCAAACATTTTTCGTCAAAGTGAAAAGTTCGTCTTAAAATACTAAAATGAAATCGTTCGTTGCAATTATTGTGACGTGTGCATTTATTGCGATCGCGAGCTCTCGCCCACATGGTGTGTTACCGTCAAAAATTTTGGCAAACTAATTTATTTCACTATGAATTTGAATTTAAATCATTTGATTGAGTATTGTTTTTTATATTAAAAATGTTAAAATTTTGTTTCGAAAATTTTATTATTTTATTATTTCTACTCATCAAGGTCGTTTTTCCTTATCGTCATCATCATCGTCTTCATCATCGTCTTCATCATCCTCATCATCTACAATAAACGGACAACCAGCAAACCCGGGTAAAAATATAAATCAATTTAATGTATAGCACATACTTAAAAAAATCAAGCGAGAAAAAATAATATAGAAAAATAACACCATCGCGTTTACATAACAAAAATAACATTTTCAAAGTTAAATAATATAATTAATTATCAAATGAATATTATTTTTGAAGAATTTCGTGATGGTTCACCGTAAATTTTCATTCTACATATCTTTTATATATCAGTATACCCTCCAACTCCAGTACACTACCCTCCATATGTAGATCAACATCAACATCATGGTTATTCAGGACATGGCCAGCCTTCTGGAAATATAGGAATTGGTTATAACCCTGGACATGGTTATGATCAGGGACATGGTTATCCTCCTCATCAAGAACAACATTCAAAGGCTAACGCTAACGCTGAAGCTAACGCAAAAACTCACACAGTCAACCAAAATCAATTGGATTATGGATATTAATAAGTCATTACGACAAAAAATCTTGAATTTGAATGTTTAAAAAGGAAATGAATAAATCATAAATATTGAAATGTATTAACTGTTTGTTAAATACAAATGTATATTAAGTTTATATTCACAGTACACAGAAAAATTATCTATCATTTATTTTCGTCACAAAATTGATAACAGAAATTTTGTGTTTCACATTTTGGTTTCGTCACTCGCTCCTCACCTCGTCAGAGGTTTTTTATTTGATATCAGTAATTTTGTGAGAGTATGTGTACCAAACGAGTAAGGTACAATTAAAAATAAATTGCGGTACAATTAAGTACATTTTTGGTACAATTTTTTAAACCTAGTCCCAAGTTTCGACTTTCACATGTGCGGACATTCGAATATACATCCGAGAGTATACTCTCAAAATTATAATTTTCCAAATTGAAGATTCAAAACATCTCCACACATGAATTTAAATAATTTTGAAATACAATTAAAATTGGGACTTTTAGGTTATTTTTTGGCTCCAAATGTCATAAATTATGCCCCTTCGCCCAAAAACAATTGCAAATTGAAAGATTTTCCTTCGCCAAAAACCCTAGCAAAATTCGATATTTTCTCCCTCTTTAGAAAGTGAAGAAGAAAAAAAATGTCTTCACATTTTTCGCAAAAATCCCTAGCAAACCGAAAGAATCTTTTTCTCAGAATGCGAAAATTTCTAAGGAAGTAATTCCCAAATCTGCTTGCCCTTATGTGCCCGACCGAAAGGTAACCTTTTGATTTTTGACCAATTTGACCACTTCAAATCGAAATTTTTGAACCAAAAATGACACCATTCGATAGCTGGCTTTAAGGCCTTTCCAACGATATGCATATTTCCGGGGTGTGTCATATGGAGGCAACTCAGTGACCGTAGGGAAAAAAGTCAAAAAATGACTTTTGGAGGCCGGCCTCGGCCAAAATGACGGCCGTATTGAAAAGTGGCGGAACAAAAAATTCTTAGTTTTTTGTGTAATTCAATCCCAAAAAGTTTCAAAAGGATCAGAATCGAGTACGCAAAATCGCAGGCAGACACACAGACATTTTGATTTTTCATAGAGATTCATATGAAATTTTTAAAATAATAAATTTTTCGAACGGATTGACCGATTTCAAGGGTTGAGGTATCGTTGGAAAGGTATTGAGCTCTAAAATCAGAATATCGATGTCAACGACCTCATTTAGTGCCATCTATGGTTTTATATGCATCGAAAATTGTCAACAAATTGAAAATAATTCGATTTCTTTGTAATTTACATCGAATTGTTATTGAATATGATTTAATTCCACATTTTCGTTGTGCAATTGGGAATTTTCTAAAGAATAATACATCAGAATTTTGAAACAAAAAAAATAATCTATGTGTACTATCAATGATCTCTGGACTTTCCCATCCAAATTTGATGTTTTCTTATTCCAATTGTACTTTGGTTTTTGCAAAGCACGACGATAATGCTACCGTCACTTGCTTTCTATATAGACTGTATATTTTTTTTGAGCTT